CTCAATAAAATACTGGCAAACCGGATTCAGCAACACATCAAAAAGCTTATCCACCATGATCAAGTGGGCTTCATCCCTGGGATGCAAGGCTGGTTCAACATTCGCAAATCAATAAACATAATCCAGCATATAAACAGAACCAAAGACAAGAACCACATGATTATCTCAATAGATGCAGAAAAGGCTTTTGACAAAATTCAACAGCCCTTCATGCTAAAAACACTCAATAAATTCGGTATTGATGGAACGTACCTCAAAATAATAAGAGCTATTTATGACAAACTCACAGCCAATATCATACTGAATGGGCAAAAACTGGAAAAATTCCCTTTGAAAACTGGCACAAGACAGTGATGCCCTCTCTCACCACTCCTATTCAACATAGTGCTAGAAGTTCTGGCTAGGGCAATTAGGCAAGAGAAAGAAATCAAGGGTATTCAGTTAGGAAAAGAAGAAGTCAAACTGTCCCTGTTTGCAGATGACATGATTGTATATTTAGAAAACCCCATTGTCTCAGCCCAAAATCTCCTTAAGCTGATAAGCAACTTCAGCAAAGTCTCAGGATACAAAATTAATGTGCAAAAATCACAAGCATTCTTATACACCAGTAACAGACAAACAGAGAGCCAAATCAGGAATGAACTTCCATTCACAATTGCTTCAAAGAGAATAAAATACCTAGGAATCCAACTTACAAGGGATGTAAAGGACCTCTTCAAGGAGAACTACAAACCACTGCTCAGTGAAATAAAAGAGGACACAAACAAATGGAAGAACATAGCATGCTCATGGATAGGAAGAATCAATATCGTGAAAATGGCCATACTGCCCAAGGTAATTTATAGATTCAATGCCATCCCCATCAAGCTACCAATGAGTTTCTTCACAGAATTGGAAAAAACTGCTTTAAAGTTCATATGGAACCAAAAAAGAGCCCGCATCTCCAAGACAATCCTAAGTCAAAAGAACAAAGCTGGAGGCATCACACTACCTGACTTCAAACTATACTACAAGGCTACAGTAACCAAAACAGCATGGTACTGGTACCAAAACAGAGATATAGACCAATGGAACAGAACAGAGTCCTCAGAAATAATACCACACATCTACAGCCATCTGATCTTTGACAAACCTGAGAGAAACAAGAAATGGGGAAAGGATTCCCTATTTAATAAATGGTGCTGGGAAAATTGGCTAGCCATAAGTAGAAAGCTGAAACTGGATCCTTTCCTTACTCCTTATACGAAAATTAATTCAAGATGGATTAGAGACTTAAATGTTAGACCTAATACCATAAAAATCCTAGAGGAAAACCTAGGTAGTACCATTCAGGACATAGGCATGGGCAAAGACTTCATGTCTAAAACACCAAAAGCAACGGCAGCAAAAACCAAAATTGACAAATGGGATCTCATTAAACTAAAGAGCTTCTGCACAGCAAAAGAAACTACCATCAGAGTGAACAGGCAACCTACAGAATGGGAGAAAATTTTTGCAATCTACTCATCTGACAAAGGGCTAATATCCAGAACCTACAAAGAACTCAAACAAATTTACAAGAAAAAAACAAACAACCCCATCAAAAAATGGGCAAAGGATATGAACAGACATTTCTCAAAAGAAGACATTCATACAGCCAACAGACACATGAAAAAATGCTCATCATCACTGGCCATCAGAGAAATGCAAATCAAAACCACAATGAGATACCATCTCACAGCAGTTAGAATGGCGATCATTAAAAGTCAGGAAACAACAGGTGCTGGAGAGGATGTGGAGAAATAGGAACACTTTTACACTGTTGGTGGGATTGTAAACTAGTTCAACCATTATGGAAAACAGTATGGCGATTCCTCAAGGATCTAGAACTAGATGTACCATACGACCCAGCCATCCCATTACTGGGTATATACCCAAAGGATTATAAATTATGCTGCTATAAAGACACATGCACACGTATGTTTATTGCAGCACTATTCACAATAGCAAAGACTTGGAATCAACCCAAATGTCCATCAGTGACAGATTGGATTAAGGAAATGTGGCACATATACACCATGGAATACTATGCAGCCATCAAAAAGGATGAGTTTGTGTCCTTTGTTGGGACATGGATGCAGCTGGAAACCATCATTCTTAGCAAACTATCACAAGAACAGAAAACCAAACACCGCATGTTGTCACTCATAGGTGGGAACTGAACAATGAGATCACTTGGACTCAGGAAGGGGAACATCACACACAGGGGCCTATCATGGGGAGGGGGGAGGGGGGAGGGATTGCATTGGGAGTTATACCTGATGTAAATGACGAGTTGATGGGTGCAGCACACCAACATGGCACAAGTATACATATGTAACAAACCTGCACGTTATGCACATGTACCCTACAACTTAAAGTATAATAATAATAAATAAATTTTAAAAAAAAATAAAGAAAATTTACATGGCAAAATGTTATGTGATGTTGTGTGCTGTGAGAAATAGATTTGGCAATTGACCAGTTAAATGTGAGAAACGTGCTTCCAATGGACAGAAATCAAATGGTTGGCATCAAGTTCTTAACAATGACCCTAACATCGACAATAATAATAGCAAATAAAATTTAATTAACACTTGTTGAGTGCCAAGAGTAGTGCTAAGAGTGTTATGTGCATTGTCTCATTTAAGCATCTCAATAACTCTATGAAGTAAATCCCATTCTTTCACAAATGTAACAATGGAACACGAAAAGTTAAAATGATTTCCTCAAGCAGAAACAGCTAGGAATGGCAAAGAAAGAACAGTTTTAAACCTCGATCTAACATTCTTGTTCCAGCACTCACAGTAACAGCTCTCCAAATGGAAACTCTTATTATTAATAACATGATTATTAAATGCACATACCTCTGACTTCTGACACCTACAAAGCACTGTACTGATTGCTCTTTGGGGGAAATACTGACACGATCATAGGTCTTTTGCTCATTGTTCTTATGCGGGATAATTGCTTGTACATATAACTCCCTGTATCCTATATATGTAACATAGATATATTTACCAAGAGTCTACAATCTGTCTTTTTATAATAAAGGTTTTCCTTTAAACACACACACACACACACACACACACACACACAAAAAAAGAGTCAATGGCTTCTGACAAGCAGCCACTCAGGCCTCCACTTGGCCTTAACTAAGTCAGCCCCAGCACACCAGTTCCTTAGAATTACATGCAAGGTCATAGGATTTCAATTAAAAAAAAAACTTTAACATGAGGCCAGAATACCTATGGCTGTAACCTGCTCTTGAATAAACTTTCTCCCTATCATTTTTTTGTGTGTTTGAAATACTCTACTCTTTTTACAGATCTTGGTCTTTTGCAATCACACAGGTTTCTATTTGTTGAGTACCTTCTTTGCATTGGAAATTTGAATTTCTTTTTACCCTTACAGTATACCTATAAGCAAATATCATCAATGTCATTTTACAGATGAACAATAAGTTACTGGTGAACTGGTGATGAAAATTAAGGAAGGCTTTTGAACATGACTCTATCTTTTCAATATCCTTGACAGATGCCAACAGAAAAGGTCAAGAAATGAATAGGATACAATGTTTTCTAAACTGTTCCCAGAACACATAGTTGGGTATTTGCAGGGACTTATTTTTCAATTAGGACAATAAGTGACTTATTGATTAACTGCTTCTAAATGATATAAATACAGTTTAAACTAGTATTTATCATGTATACACAATAAAGATTTATTATTAACATAAATTGAGCATTTATCATATTCTAATCACTGTTCCATTAGCTTGAACCACATAAAATTGCTGCTCTTTCACCTATCAAATGGCAATTTCATGTGGTTTAACCTAATAGTTGTCTCATTTGATTTCAACAATAGCCTTAGATGCAACTGTTTTTAATGTCATTTGTAGAAGAGGAAATGGAAGCTCAGCAAGATTAAATACTGTGCACAGAATTAGGCAGTCAATGAGGGGGGCTTCTCCTCCCCCAACCTCAAACCAAGCAATTCTTCTTCACCATGAAGTGGTGACTCTGATGAAGTGATGTGACACTTTTATTGTCCCCAGTGATAGTAATTTTGAGTTTATTAGTTCAGTCACTTCATTCAATATTGAGCACATACTGTAGATGAGAATCATATGTACTCAGCCTTTGAAAGAACAGAAAGGTGGAAAATCAAGCTAGTTAGTCCAGAGTTGGGTTTTATAAAAACAGCGAAACAAAACCATCTGAAACTGATTTTTTTTTTTTTCGGTATCTATGCAGGTATGTCTTGAAGATTGCTTCTTAAGTTCTCAGAGGTTGGTTATTACTGAAAAAAAAAAAGTGTTGATTTCTAAAGTGACTGGACCCTTTGAATAGTGTAGGTTCCGGTGTGTTTGTTCAGTAGTTACTTTCACTATACCCTCTGACTGGGATGCTCAGTTCCTAATCACAAGATCTTTTAAGTCTTACCTCAGCGGTCACTCTTCCCATATGGATCTTCCATTATTTTCCCTCTGTAAATGAACTGTCCCTCATTTTGGCTTTCATTGCAACTTGTTTTCCCTTTTCAAATGTCACCGGTCTCCTTTCCTAAATTATGTTTTATTATCCATCCATCCACCCATCCATCGGTCCATCCATCCATCCATCCATCCATCATACTACACATCTATAAATTTCTAGTCAATGTTAGGGACCCTGAGGTTACCGGGGTGAAATGACACAGTTCCCACCCTCAGAAGCTTAATAGGGGAGACAGAGAAACAAACAGAACATTTCAGTCAACTATAGGTCTCCTTATTCTAGTTCTAACTCATCTGAAAATGCACTCCTATCAGTGACAGTTGCTGACGATGGCTGTGATTCTGGTGAATGATAAAGATTGGTGGGGAGAGAAAAGAGAGAAAGCAAGAAATATGCTCCCTCCGCTCCAGATTGGGGTTGGGAAAGACATAATGCATGTCTCTCTATCCCAGTCCAGCCTCCTGGGCTGAGGATCAGCAGGACAGATTATGCAGTGCATCTTTGCAGCGGAGAGGAGGTCCGCTGGTCCCATACTTGGAGAACCCGTGGGAGTGGAGCAGGGAAGATTTCTGGGAAATGGTGTTTGAATTAAATCATGAAAATGAGTAGGAGTCTGCTACATGAGTAAGGGAGGGAAGAAAAGTCAGTAGAGAAGGTAGGCAGTGCTTGCAAAGGCCTGAGGTAAGAGATAGCATGCTGTGTGTCCATGCACGTGTGTGTATGTGTCTGTGTGTGTGTGTGTCTATAAGAAGTCTGCTATGGCTACTTTAAGATGAAAAGTGGAATTCGGCAGGAATTGAGTGGTCAAGAGCAAGCAGTGAGATAATGACATTTTTCAAAAAGATAGTTAGCAGTTTGGAGAATGGGGAACGCATATCTTACATCCATCATTAGACTGAGGGTGGATTTTAACCCTGCCTATATCCCAGTGTGCCACGCTCCTAGAACATCACTCCACAGGCTTTGGAATTGCAATATGTTGTCTATAGCCTGGACATCATATTTCTTTCATTCTGAGGTGGCTGACTTGAGGGGAATGAATGTCAGGAGAATATTGCTAGTTTTTAGGGGAGACACAGGGGAAAGAGAGGCACTGGGATATGAGTGAGAGGAGTCTGTTTGAAAGAAAAACGAGACTTAAATCCATTATCACCAGGACACTAAAATACAGCACTTCTTCTCTGAATGGTATTCGTTCCTGTTTACTTTCTTCCTTGTGGCATTGAGCTGGGCTGCATTTGCCATTTAGGCGTAATTACTATTTTATTATTATTTTTTTTCACAGTTAAGTGGAGCATTTGAGCACAGCTGAATTGCTGGGAGCCTCGGTGGAAGAAATCTATTAGTGATACGACTTGAAACAATACACAAAAGGCCGCTGCGTGTGGTCTGCCCTCCACGCTTTCAGCTTCCTTATGTGGAACAATAAATCTCCGAGTCAGCTAGAACGCAGAGACTCCCATCCAACGAGAGCCGCATTTTTATCTTTTATTCATTGGCAGGAACATTAGCTGTAGGAGGTATTCAAATCACACTTTTATTTAAACAAACACAGCTGGATCACAGCCTCTTAATATAGCAATTCTCTAATGAAAAATAACAACATAGTATTTATCTCTTTTCTTTTGTGTGACTCTCAATTTGCTAAAATTAGGCAGACTTCAATCCCATACAAAATTGGCATGTTTTCATGACCAGAGCTCATCGCAACTAACTGCAAAATTATAATGGGGATGTAATTATAGGAGGGCATGTGAAATACACATCCTTTTGCTGCTGTAAGCTATATGGGGTTATACAATTATGTTGTAATAACATCATTTATCTTAAAGGAGTCAGACAGCTGACTTCATTTATTTAACTTGAGCACTCCAATTATGTGCTGTGTCAGTTTAACATAAATGTCTTGCCCAAAGAACATGGTGTAATAATAATGGTAATAGCAATAATAATAATAGCACACATTTGTATAGGGTTCTACAGAGCACAAAGGGTTTTTACAATTGCGATCTTGCTGGAGTCTCCTAATGGTCTGTAAGGCAGGCCACAATGCCTGTGATCTTGTGCCCCATTTATTGTTGAGAAAACTGAGGTTCAGAGAAGTGAAGTGATGTTGACAAGCCTGTACACTTGTTAATAGTAAGTGGAGAGGTAAGAACTTTAAAGTCAGGTTTCCTGACTTCGCAGCTGAGGACTATTCACCAGTAGTCCCACCTTTTGGACAGTGTGACATGTTTGTTCTTATCTCTTATTTCATTTTATCTCACAGTGATCTTTTAAGGCAGGTAGAACAGTCTAGGGTAGTGGGAATTGCAGGTACTAATTTTGTCAGCCTGGGCAAATTAAACTATTAGATCCCAGATATCTTGTCAGAAAAAGTAGGGATAATAATACACACGGAGCAGGACTGTTATAAGAATTAATTAATATAATGCTTGTGAAGTGCCTGAACATAGGTGCTCAGAAAATGAATTCATTCCCTTTTCCGGTAAGACAAGAAAAAAATTCTGCTTTGCATGTAACATAATTGCTGTGCCTTTTGCTTAACTGACTTCCCCAACTCGCCAAGCTGGTGTCAGGGCAGTCACCAACCGAAATTCATGTCTTGTTATTTCAAATCTGCTTGTCATTACTTTCACACACCTTGTAATGCCTTCAAATGTTCACTATTATTTTCAGTTCTTTCTCAATTCTTTACAAAATTCATTTGCTTAAATACCCGAAGGTAGAATAAAATACTAGAACTGAAATCTTAGCGCTCTTTGCCTGAAGGGGAGAGACTACAGGTGTAATGGACGAGCAGGGTGCGGAGTCAGGAAGCCTGCGTTGGGCTCCCGGCAGTGGCAGTTACTAAGCTATGTGAATTTAGGCCATCCTCTGACTTAGCTCATCTATAAATGTTATTTCAATCCTAACTTCCTGAGAGGAAGCCTAAAGTACATAATGTTTCTGGGAGAGAAGAAAAAGCTTGTAAAATAATCGACTTAGCTTACCCCATGCTAGTACATTGCTAGAAAGACAGAGTCTCATTTAACCTTTGTGGCAACTCTGTCGGATATTTTTCCCTGTTTTACAGATGAGGAAATGAATATTAAAAGATTGTCAAAGAGTTATAACCTTTATATTTGGTTATTACATTTAACGGTTTGAGGGACTTAATTTTCAAGTTTCTTGACTAAGTAGTTAAATGGGGAAGGTGGGTGGGGTCTATTTGGATACCTCCAATTTATACAGTTTTGTTTATAAAATACAAAGTTTTATAAATGTCACAATTTTCTTGATTTTGAGAGAAACGATCAAAGATATAGTTTCCATAACATCAGTGTTTCAAACTGAGCCAGCAAGGATAAAGTTCCATAACTTAGGACAATTTTACTTAGTGAAGGCATTTAAGTGTCTGAATTTCAGCTTCAGCCTAGGGGCCTAGGTATTTTGCAAGTGGGTTGGTGCAGGTTCAGACAGCCAAAATGACTTAACCAGGAAGTAATATAACAAGATTTTATGTCTGTGTGAATGTGCTCTTTTTATTCCTTCCTTCTTTCTGTCTCTTTTTCCCTACTTATCCATTTATACATTTAATTTGCTAAGATTTGAGTTTTTAAAAAGTCCTCTACTTATACCGCTTTCTTAGAGCTTGTAATGTATTAGGGGGAACATTCTAGTGAGAAACCATTACAGTACAATGAGATTACAGTGAGGCAGGTGTTATGGTAGAGATGAGGGCTAGCTTTAATTTTGGCAAACCAATTGATTTGACATTATCAATTCTGCTTACAGGATGGAGTCAAGGAGGCTTCACAGATGAGTCTCTTGAGCCAATTTTTTTTTTCCCAGATGCTTTTAAGTAACAGAAAATTTGTGTAAACAATATATAAATTTATATAAACAATATATAAAGAGGAGTTTTTATTGTAGAGATACTGGGGTATTAACATCAAGAATGGCAACATGGCTGGACCTAAGAAAAATCTGGGTCCATTTATTTGAACATTAACATTTGATTTCTCTCCACCTCTCATCTCTGTTTCACTCAATGCAGATGGTCTCCTCTGTCTCTTGGTCGCTTTGACAGGAGGTATTGTCACTGACACTTCTAAGGCTTTATATCTCATAGCCTCAGACACTAAAAGAGGCTGCTTCAGTGAACTGTCCACTTTTCAAAGTTCTAAGGCCAAATTTCCTGGGGAAAGGATTCACTGGGTCTCTCTGAGACAATCAATCAGAAGTAACGGTGGGGCAGGTTTACTTAGAAATGGGCAGCTTCCACAGGAGCCTTATCAAAGGAGTGGAAAGGTGGCAACTCCTCAAAGAGGGGAAGATTAGTCTCACAGACAAGTGGTTCTCAAGGTAAAGTCCCTGAGCCCCCGAAGATCTCAAGGCCATTTTAGGGGGTTCATGAGGTCAAAACTCTTTTCTTTTTTTCTTTTTCTTTTTTTTTTTTGAGACGGAGTCTCGCTCTGGCGCCCAGGCTGGAGTGCAGTGGCCGGATCTCAGCTCACTGCAAGCTCCGCCTCCTGGGTTTACGCCATTCTCCTGCCTCAGCCTCCCGAGTAGCTGGGACTATAGGCGCCCGCCACCTCGCCCGGCTAGTTTTTTTGTATTTTTTAGTAGAGACAGGGTTTCACCCGTGTTAGCCAGGATGGTCTCGATCTCCTGACCTCGTGATCCGCCCGTCTCGGCCTCCCAAAGTACTGGGATTACAGGCTTGAGCGACCGCGCCCGGCCAAAACTCTTTTCTTAATAAACCTAAGCTATTATTTTCTTTTTTTTCACTCTGTTACCATTTGTATTGATGGTGCAAAAGCAATGGTAGGTAAAACTACAGGTGCCAGAGCGTGAGGAGCAGTACCAAATTATGTAAGTAGTCATTGTCTTCTTTAACACACCGTGTACTCACAGTAAACAATGCCAGTTTTCTTTAAGAATTCTCTCCAATAATCAGTAAAAAATATTACTTTAATTAAATGTCAACCCTGTGTAACACCTTTATAACATCTGTGGGGCAAAGTAGTTGTGCCATGAAGGTTTTTTGCTCATACTAAAGTACAAAGGCTGCCTTGAAGAAAAGTAGTTGTGTAATTTAGTTGCAAGTTGAACTAGCTGCCTTTTTGCATGGAAAATCTTTTTATTTGGAAGAACGACATAGAAAAACTATGGCTGTTCAGATCTGGGTGTTAGGCAGACATATTCCTAAAGAAAGTATATTAATTTAAGGAAAACAACCGTATTTGTTGGCAATGATCAAATTTGAGCTTTCACACAAAAATCATAATTTTGGAATCTGCCACTGGGAACTTGATGGTTTCCTACTACTTAAAGCCTTTGCTGATAAGATTTGTGGTGACAGTGAAAAATGTATTTTTTTTTGATATTGTGTGGTCAGTGTATCAATATTTGGATGAATTACATGACTCAGTAAACTGGTGTTTTTCAAATGACCCACACATGATGCTATAGAGATCATGCTTTTAAATAAAAGACTCATTTAAGGTTGACCAATGGGTTTTAATGTAACACAATACAAAAAGTTCATTAGTATAGTTTCAGACTCCATATTGCAGCTAATAAGAGGTTATCAGTTGTTGAATTTTTGTGCAGATTCAAATAATATCCACAAAATATTCCAAATTTTCATCATATACTTCAAGCAAACCAACATAGCAATACAGACTGAATGTAGA